CATTTCCGTTGCCAAATATGGGTTCAAATCCTGGTCTCTAGAGTCATATTCCAACACTTAAACCTTGGCTCTTAAAACTTGTATAGTCCACAGTTGGAATTGCCTGATTTTGCAGACACAGGGATATTCGTGCTTTTGTTGGAGAAACATCTGGAGGAGTGGTGGTTCTCATGAAAATTTTCCTTGACTAAGTTTACTGGGAAGAGGCTGATAGTCAAGCAGTGGGTGGCTTATTTTTCTCGCAATTGGAAGTAACTTCCTGTCACACATCAGGGGGAGCAGTACAAGCTAGGGTATGGTGTAGGTTTAAGACATCCTGTGATTATTCTACATATCTCATTCAGTGCTATGTTCACCTTCGCATGGGCAGATTTATGCCAGACAGAGCAGGCATACTCAGCAGTTGAGTCAGACAAGGCCAGGGCTGATGTTCTTTTTAATTTTGGGTCTGGTAGGTTTCCACAGGATATTATTGTGTGCAGCTACTTTGTGCTTGGTGTTCACACTGTATTTCCTAAATGTTAGTGTTCAGTCCAAGGTGACGCCAAGATATTTAAGGTGGGAAAGTGTTCAAGCTCTTAGCCTTCCCAGGTAACCTTCAGTTTCCTGTTGGCTTCACAATCATGTAGATGAAAAGCACATATTTGTGTCTTGGCAGGGTTGGGCTTCAGATAGTTATCTTTACAGTAGCTGGAGAGATCTTTCAGGGCTTTAGAAAGTTGGTTTCCAACTGTTTCAAAGTATTTTGCTTGAGTTGGTAGGCCAAGGTTATCAGCGTATATAAAGCTCTTTGTGAGTGGTGGTTGTGGCTGATTGTTAGTAAAAATGTTAAACAAGGTCGGTGCAAGAATGTTGCCTTGAAGGTAGGCTATTCTTTTGCCTCCTCCATCTACTTTTCCTGCCTTGAAACTCCACATAGAAGCTGCGGTTTTCTGGGAGGGTTTGGATAGCTTTTGTGAGATATGGTAGACTTTATGCAGCAATTTCCTATGTTGCACCGTGTCATAGGCTGCCATAAGCTCCACAAAAGCGTAATGCAACCCATAATGTGCTTGAATCAGCTAACATAATTTAACTTCAGACCACTGGAGTTTTTTCACAATAGAGAACAGATGCAGTCAGATTAAGATTTTTCTAACATTTCTTTTAATGGGATTTGCTCATGCTGTTCCTCATCCAACCTCTCCGACTTCCTTCAAGTATCTTGCTGACAATCCTTAACCTGCGGGTTAAATCCATTACTAGGAACTTTGCTTCTTGAACCCTTGCTTGTTTGCCCTTGGGGCAATCACAACTAAATCATGCAAGTATCATCAGCAATTATCTGCCTGCTCTCTTCTTCACCTCTCCCTCCACCCCATTCGCTGCCCCCTGAAGCTGTCCATCTGGGGCCGTTAAGTTGAGATTGCGCTGGAAATGATGGATTGAGACATAGTCAGTTGCACATCCTACCACTGGTGCGATATTGTTACAGTAAATTCATCATCCTGACACATTCATAATACTTAAGCACACAACTATGGTTATTGCATTGAGCTCTGCTGGATTATTCGCTAAATTATAAAGCTTCATTACACATATTCCTCCCCTTTCCTTACAAAAAAGACTATTATTGCCTTGCATAGCTTTAATAAGGGTCCCTCCTCTGTCGTAGTCTGTAAGTGAATCACAGACTGAAGGCTTCTTGTGAAAATGTCCTATGTGAAAATTACTTCTTGGTAAGGAAAATACATTGTAGTGTGGAAATTTCAGCACTTACACATTCAGTACTTACTTACTTACTTATTACTTACTTACTTAGGCGATCCCTCGTTTTCTGAGGAAGATTGTCTTCCAGTATTTTTGTGGGTCCGTATGTGGCTGTGGAGCCCTATTCTTGCTCTGCATCTTCTTCCGCAGTGAGGGCATTGGTTTCCAGGTGGAAGGCGGTCTCGGTCGGGGTTGGCTTGACGCGCCTTCCTCTTGGCATGCTTCTCCTTTTCGCCCTCCATTCGTGCCTCTTCAAATTCTGCAGCACTGCTGGTCACAGCTGACCTCCAGCTGGAGCGCTCAAGGGCCAGGGCTTCCCAGTTCTCAGTGTCTATGCCAGAGTTTTTAAGGTTGGCTTTGAGCCCATCTTTAAATCTCTTTTCCTGTCCACCAACATTCCGTTTTCCGTTCTTGAGTTCAGAGTAGAGCAACTGCTTTGGGAGACGGTGGTCGGGCATCCGGACAATGTGGCTGGTCCAGCGGAGTTGATGGCGAAGGACCATCGCTTCAATGCTGGTGGCCTTTGCTTCTTCCAGCATGCTGACGTTTGTCCGCCTGTCTTCCCAAGAGATTTGCAGGATTTTCCGGAGGCAGCGCTGATGGAATTGTTCCAGGAGTTGCATGTGACGTCTGTAGACAGTCCACGTCTCACAGGCATATAGCAGGGTTGGGAGGACAATAGCTATAAACAAGCACCTTGGTATCCCTACGGATGTCCCGGTCCTCAAACACTCTCTGCTTCATTCGGGAAAATGCTGCGCTTGCAGAGCTCAGGCGGTGTTGTATTTCGGTGTCGATGTTGACTTTGGTGGAGAGGTGGCTGCCAAGGTAGCGGAAATGATCAACATTTTCTAATGTTACACCATTAAGCTGTATCACTGGCATTGGAGAGGGGTTGGCTGGTGTCTGCTGGAACAGCACCTTGGTTTTTTCAATGTTCAATGACAGGCCGAGCTTCTCGTATGCTTCTGCAAAAGTGTTTAGAGTGGCTTGTAGATCTTCTTCTGAATGCGCACAGACGACGTTGTCATCAGCATACTGGAGTTCTATAACAGATGTTGTTGTAACCTTGGTTGTAACCAAACTACTGTATATTATCAAAGATGGGTGCTGAATGTAGGAACCTATGACCAATCACAATGCACCCATCTTTGATAATATACAGTAGTTTGGTCTCACTTAGTTTTTCATATTTTAGAATACATTTATTTGTATATATGCAATGAACTGCAAAGTAACTGCTCTGGAAAAGAAATATCAGTACTGGTTCTCCACTGTATTTACTTGCTTTATTGTTTTTTCTACTAAGCCCTGGCATGGAATTCCACAGGGATAGATGGCATTGCTGACTGAAATCGACATTTGTTTAATGCACTGACGGAGAGGTTATGCCAGTGGTTCTCAACCTATGGGTCCCCAGGTGTTTTGGCCTACAACTCCCAGAAATCCCAGCCAGTTTACCAGCTGGTAGGATTTCTAGGAGTTGAAGGCCAAAACATCTGGGGACCCACAAGTTGAGAACCACTGGGTTATGTCATTCAGATACTGTTGGCTCTACTATCCACCAGTAATGCTGAATTTAATCTAGAAGGCAACAGATCCTCTTCTCGTGTTAAAATATTCAGAAAAAGCATCTTATGAAGTTGCGAGCAATGGAAGAATACTAAACTAAAATGACTTCTTGATGTCCATCAAGGCCAATCTTATATTATATTCTTAAATCAAATTGTATAATGGTCCTAACTTTGGGTTTGAGGTGTAGATGGAAGAAGAAGTTAGATTTATAGAATCATAGAATCATGGAGTTGGAAGAGACCTCATGGGCCATCCAGTCCAACCCCCTGTCAAGAAGCAGGAATATTGCATTCAAAGCACCCCCGACAGATGGCCATCCAGCCTCAGTTTAAAAACTTCCAAAGAAGAAGCCTCCACCACATCCGGGGCAGAGAGTTCCACTGCTGAACAGCTCTCACAGTCAGGAAGTTCTTCCTAATGTTCAATTTTATATACATTAACAATGTACTTTTTTGCTGCCTTCAGGTGGAATCTCCTTTCTTGTAGTTTGAAGCCATTGTTCTGCATCCTAGTCTCCAAGGCACCAGAAAACAAGCTTGCTCCCTCCTCCCTATGACTTCCCCTGACATATATATACATGTCCCTCATCATGTCTCCTCTCAGCCTTCTCTTCTTCAGGCTAAACGTGCCCAGCTCTTTAAGCCGCTCCTCATAGGGCTTGTTCTCCAGACCCTTGATCCTTTTAGTTGCCCTCCTCTGGACATATTCCAGCTTGTCAACATCTCCCTTCAATTGTGGTGCCCAGAATTGGACACAGTATTCCCGGTGTGGTCTAACCAAGGCAAAATAGAGGGATACATGACTTCCCTGGATCTATACTGTAAACTCCTATTGATGCAGGCCAAAATCCCATTGGCTTTTTTTTTTGCCACCGCATCACATTGTTGGCTCATGTTTAACTTGTTGTCCACAAGTTAAGATTGTTGTCCGCAAGTTAAGGTTGGTGGAAGTAGTCTTTGCAATACTATATGGAAATATTATTTCTTATTCTGATGTAGACAATTCACATACATATAAACTGACGGCATGGAAATGTTTCTACCATATTGATAGCAAACCTTAATCTAATGTCGCATATTTAATTTTGAAGCAATTGCTGTTGTCAGATTTAATTTGGCAGCCTATAATGCAAAACAAAACCATTCAGCCCCTCCTTTTTTAATACCATCAAAACTAAGAAATGAGACGTTCATCTTGCATAATCGTGTAAATCACTGTAGCTGTAGAACTGTGGACAGTCAACCAAAAAGTACAATCGATAAGATTAGAAGCAGCTTATAAAGTTCAAGACATATCAATATTGGCATTTAATTGACCCAATTCTCCAGAGTGAGAATGGGAAGGAAAAATATCAGCACTTTCTTGCGAAATGCACATGGATTCCTGGACAGAGTCGATGCCGCTGAATCAGCAAGCGCCCTCCTCCTCCTCCTAACCCCCCTTTACAAGCACTAACAGCATCATATGTTGAGGTAGATTTGTTTTCTCCCTAGATTGCTGATGTTCTTTTTTTTCGGTGTTGGCTATTGTCATGTGCAAACTAGACAAAACAGTAAGGAGCAGCTGCTCTATTCAGCCAGACAGTTCGATGTAATGAAGTGAACATGACACAAGCAACTCTGTCCACATTAATGATTTGCCTGTCTCTTTTTCAGCTGGGGACACTGTTATCATATATCAGTCTTTGGTTGGTTTTTCCTGACAGTATGGTAAGCAATAGGTTGAATTTATTAGGTGCGATGTGAGATGCATTTGTACTTCTGTAGGCCTGGGGAACAGAGTTTGTGCTATACTGTAGACCTGATAATATAATAGTTTCTACAGATCTGTGGGAGCCCTCAATGGCGCAGTGGGTTAAACCGCTGAGCTGCTGAACTTGCTGACCGAAAAGTCACAGGTTCGAATCCAGGGAGCGGGGTGAGCTCTTGCTGTCAGCCCCAGCTTCTGCCAACCTCGCAGTTTGAAAACATGCAAATGTGAGTAGATCAATAGGTAGCGCTCCAGCTGGAAGGTAACTGTGCTCCATGCACTCATGCTGGCCACATGACCTCGGAGGTGTCTACAGACAACACTGGCTCTTCAGCATAGAAGTGGAGATGAGCACCACCCCCCAGAGTTGGACATGGCTGGACAAAACCTTTACCTTACAGATCTATGACAGATAAGACAAATCTATATTTCTAGAGAGAGAATATATCAATATGAACCATATACTTCTATCAATACAAACAATATGTGAAAATGTGTGAACCATATGTTTATCATCACTGCAACTTTGGAATCTATATAAATAAAAATGTTTGTTTGTGGGATTAACAGAACTCAAAAACCACTGGACGAATTGACACCAAATTTGGACACAAGACACCTAACAACCCAATGTATGTCCTTCACTCAAAAAAATTGATTTTGTCATTTGAGAGTTGTAGTTGCTGGGATTTATAGTTAACCTACAATCAAAGAGCATTCTGAACCCCACCAATGATGGAATTGAACCAAACTTGGCACACAGTTCTCCCATGACCAACAGAAAATACTGGAAAGGTTTGGTGGGCAGTGTCCTTTGGTTTTGAAGTTGTAGTTCACCTACATCCAGAAATCACTGTGGACTCAAACAATGATGGATCTGGACCAAATTCTACACGAATGCTAAGTATGCCCAAATGTGAACACTGGTGGAGTTTGGGGAAAATAGAATCTTGACATTTGGGAGTTGTAGTTGCTGGGATTTATAGTTCAACTACAATCACATAGCATTCTGAACCCCACCAACGATAGAATTGGGCCAAACCTCCCACACAGAACCCCCATGTGGGCCACAGCAATGTGTGGCAGGGGATGGCTAGTTCTTTGTGAATTGCAAACAATGCCAAAGCTTTTTTTTTTTTTAGCTTGTGAAAATTAGATCCAATCAAACCTTGTTGTCCATAGTTCAAATCTCAACCTCATAATTGATGTACAATGCATTGGATACATTGTTCCAACACCCAGGTTGAGAAACGCTGCTCTAGAATATCACAACTACGTTCAGGACTGCAAGTGAACTGGTTTTGCCAGTCTGTGGTCCTACAATCAGTCTTCCACACACTTTCATAATCTTTCTATCCTGTGTAACTGACTACCTAGTATATGCTGTGGTTCATTTATTTTCAGTACAGCTGCACAATTATAGCATTTTAAAAATTGACAAAGATATATAAAATAAAAGCAAAGTAGTTTCCTTGGGAATAGTTAAGGAGAGTAGATACTGAGGGGATTTGTAAAGAGACACCATGATTTGGTGGGTTGATTGGAAAGTCATGTGTCGGCAGCTGATTGGCTGAAACTGCCAGGAGCCAGAATTCTGATTGGCGACTGTCCCTGGCTTGTTGCTGAGACAAATGGTTATAACTGCCACTTTCACCTCGGGGAGTGAAGAGGGTGCTGACTGGAAACAGCCAGGAAGGAAATGGCTGCCAACTCTCTGAAGCCTAATCATGTCTAAGTCGTGAAGCATATTTTAAAGACTGTTTAAAGGGACTGTTTATTCCCTCTGTTTCCTGTAAGAATTCAGAGAGACTTCTGTATATATTGTTGCCCTGTTTGATCTTGATGGAAGTAAAGATACTGTTACTCGTTACACAAACCCGAGTGACACTTTATTATACTGCAGGGTATATTTTGTTTCAGAAACTGTGGTAAAGCTTCTGATTATTTTACATTTACAACCTCCAACAGATACAGGAGTTTCCAACCCATTGATTTCATGCCGACCTAGAAGCAAAAGAAAGCCATCATACTGTAGTAGGTAATGGAAATGTAGCAAGATGGGAAGCTATTGTTGGGTTTTGTCTGTCAATAGCTTAGGAATTGAGAAGCATAGACAGAAGGCAAACCAATAGTGGGATGTACACAGCATTTTATGATAGGTGACAGCCCAACTGCAATACTAATTCATTTGCCTGGTGTAATAAAGTCCAGAGTATTGGCTATGCCCTCCGAGCAAGGGTGTCTTTGCAATGTCTGGGAAGGATAAAGGAATCCACAGAAAAACCCTACAATACGAAACGAATGAGATATTCATTAGAAAATAAAAAGCTAGCTAATAATGCATGAAAAACTAATGAGAATGATATTAAACATGACACTTGCACAATATTTGACAGATAATGAAATTAAGCAGCAATATGCCAGTTCCGTGAAGGACTGATGCCTATATGCCTGATTGAACTCAGTGACATGAAAAGGAACCACAGCAATGAAATATTTCTAGTGTCACATCGAAGAAAGTGAACCACACACACAATTTGTGTTGTTATAATTATTATGAAACCTCAAGCCATTTCCAACCTGTGGCAACCCAAGGCAACTCTATCACAGTGGGTTGTTATAGGTTTTTCCGGGCTATATGGCCATGTTCTAGAGGCATTTTCTCCTGACGTTTTGCCTGCATCTATGGCATCTATGAGGTCACTACCTCTGAGGATGCTTGCCATAGATGCAGGCGAAACATCAGGAGAAAATGCCTTTAGAACATGGTCATATAGCCCAGAAAAACCTACAACAACCCAGTGATTCCGGCCATGAAAGCCTTCGACAATCTATCACAGTGGTTTTTTGACAATTTTTCTTTGGCGGGTTATCTTTGCCTTCTTTTGAGGCTGAGAGAGTGTGACTTGGCAAGGTCACCCAGTGGGTTTCCAAGCTAGCAACCAACCCTGGTCTCCTAGTGTCCTAATCCAACACTCAAACCAGACTGAGTCCCAACACATCTCCATTTCAAAGTCCATTCTCCTTTTCCCTGCACATCACTTCAAACTTTTCACTGTGTATACATGTAAGGAACTGAGAGGTGTCTCTATACATATTTAATGCCATTATTAAAAATTTGAGTTCACATTAAGGGGGTGGGGGGAGCATGTCTATACTTTAGATTTATAACGTATGAGGACAAGATACAAAGTCAGACCCAAGAACTATCACAAAGATCTCTGATTTAGCAACAAAGGGGTTGATCAAAATCCAAGTACTGAAATTCCTTTATCTGTGTAATTTTGCCAGAAGCAGCACTTTAGTGGGATGGGGAAACTGAGTCTCTGAAGGACAAGCCCCACGTCCCCTTATCACTCACCCTTGGACATCTAGATACCATATTTGGAGGGCCAGGTATTGTACTATCCTATGGGTTAGGGCAGTGTTTCTCAACCTGGGGGTCAGGACTCTGGGGGGGGGAGGTCTCGAGGGGGTCACCAAAGACCATCAGAAAACACACATTTCTGATGGTCTTAGGAACCCCTTTGCCATAGTGCTCTCTGGATATAGGTGAACTACATCTCCCCTAAATCACTGTGAATTCATCCCATATGCCTCCAGTATTTTCTGTTGGTAATGGGGGTTCTGTGTGGGACTGTGGTACAGCTGGCTGAGTGTCAGCTGCATTAAGATCACTTCTGACCAAAAGGTCATGAGTTCGAAGCCAGCCCGGGTCGGAGTGAGCTTCCGACCAATTGTGTAGCTTGTTGTCGACCTTTGCAACCTGAAAGACAGTTGCATCTGTCAAGTAGGAAAATTAGGTACCACCTATGTGTGGGGAGGCTAATTTAACTAATTTATGAGGCCATAAAAAAGACTCCAGCAAAGCATGCGGGGAATGTGGAAGTACGCAGTGTCACAGATGGACGATAAAAGCAACAGCTCCCCTGGTGGCCAGAAGAAGTTAAATAGCCTCTGACTGTCTGTCTATATCTGTTTTGTGTCTTTGACTTTGAATGTTTGCCATATATGTGTACATTGTAATCTGCCCTGAGTCCCCTGCAGGGTGAGAAGGGCAGAATATAAATACTGTAAATAAATAAATACATTTCTTTGTTGGTGGGGTTCTGAATGCTCTTTGATTGTAGATGAACTATAAATCCCTGCAACTACAACTCTCAAATGTCAAAGTCTATTTTCCCCAAACTCCACCAGTGTTCACATTTGGGCATATGGAGTATTCGTGCCAAGTTTGGTCCAGATCCATCATTGTTTGAGTCCACAGTGCTCCCTCTATTTAGGTGAACTACAGCTCCAAAACTCAAGGTCAAAGCCTACCAAACCCTTCTAGTATCTTCTATTTGTCATAGGAGTTTATGTGACAAGTTTGGTTCAATTCCATCATTGGTGGAGTTCAGAATGCTCTTTGATTGTAGGTGAACTATAAATTCCAGCAACTATAACTCCCAAATGACAAAATCAATCCCCCCAACCTCACCAGTATTCAAAATTGGGCATATTGGGTATTAGTGCCAAATTTGGTCCAGTGAATGAAAATACATCCTGCATATCAAATATTTACATTATGATTCACAACAGTAGCAAAATTACAGTTATGAAGTAGCAACGAAAATAATTTTATGGTTGGGGTCACCATAACCCAAGGAACTGTAATAAGGGTCCGCGGTATTAGGAAGGTTGAGAAAGATTGGGCTAGGGAATGGACATTTAAGAACACTGACCCATCCACAGCAGTTCAGTTATCACTGCATCTGGGGAAAAGCCAAGCACAGAATAATACAGGAGGAACTCCTCTAGCCTGAGATACAAAATTGTGGGAGATGGGGCTATTTTCCCCAGACACCAAACGCTGTCTCCTGTGCAGCCTTTCATTAAACAGCACAATACCTCTGCAGCACCAGTGCCATCATTTCAGCTGGGTTGTTGTAGGTTTTTCCGGGCTATATGGCAATGTTCT